CAAAAGAATATTTTCCCTTAAACGAGGCAACAAGGGCTAATTTGCAAGTAAACAAAAGAACACTAAAATGGCGGCCATTTTGGAATAAGGTGTATAATTGTTGTGTTCGTTCTTAATTTTAAGCCCACTACTCAGCCATCAGTAAATTCTGCAGATCTCAGATCTCAGCTATCAGTTGAAAAACATGACTTTCTCAGCTGACAGTAAACACTTTGACCAAGTCTCGGCTATCAGCGAAACTCAATTAAGACCCTCTCTGGACGCTCATACGTTTATCAAACGAGGACGCCTGGGCTCGAGGCTAACATTGACCATGCGTAAATGACTTCAGTTCATGTGAAATCAGTAATTACAAATGTAAACGTTTATACTGTCTACGAGAAAACGTCAACAGAAATACTCTCCGCTAGCTTACCTAACCTCCGTAGCACTCTTTTCCGTACGAACGACAGAGATTTTTCCTCAGTCTGGCTTCACCACACCCATCTCTGTTTTCGCAAGACAGAGACCACGACGATGTTTTTGTTTTTTCTTCGATTTTTGTTTTCGTTTTCGTTTTCGATCCAGTTTTCGCACGACCAGCAGACGAGAAACTCTTTGCGTGTACAGGAACGCTTACTGCGCAGGCTATCGTTAACGAATTTCAAAACCTTTTCAGAAAGCGTTCAGATTAACATTCGTTTCACACGATTATTGTCTTTTGTTTAAATGTAGAGGGGAGACGTTTGACACGTGTTAAGGGACGAAGCCGCTTACTTGGAGACGTAGCCTAACTAAAACAGCACGCCATTCCCACACGAAATTCGTGTTCAAAGCATTGTTTATTTTCGAGCAACTCTCTATCGAGTGTTGAGAATAATCCGGAATTGCCCTGGTTTTGCTTTGCTACGCTCTGTGATTGGTTTAAAAAGCTTGCACTGACCACCGATCTAACCAATCAGATGCAAAACCAGATCCAAAAGTAGTTTGGTCACGTGCGCTTTCCCGCGCTTGGCGCCAGTCACGTGTGCTCTACAACATGGCCCTTGATCAGTCCTGGTTAGTTTCAAGTTCCTTAGGATGCAATTACGCGGGGCATCAGTCCTCTAATATTCACTTAGACTACGAGTAGTCCCTCTTTCGCTTAGTCCGTCGTGCGTGACACGAAAGAAAACCGAGAAAAAAAAATGGCCGCGCGAAATCCTGGGGGCGAGGAGCGCGCGAAAGGAGGGACTACCGCCTATGCCCAAGAGTTTGAATTATGCGTTGCTCTCACAACGCAAAAATATGATTGGCTTATGTTAGGAGCGTTGACAACCTGTTGTCAACATTCGAGATACGTGTGACCTCTTGCAGGAATGTTTTGGAACCGGAGCAAATCGAAGCGGTACCAGAGAAAATCGAAGCGTTTGAATCGCGCTTCGTAAGCCGTGATGTTCTTGCGAATCTGCCAACAGGCTTTGGAAAGATTTAAATTTATCCAGTATTTTGTTTGGCAA